AGGTCGATATATATTCAACTATCGTTTTAAAAATAAAAGATTTTATTTGATTTAATTCGGACGGACACTGCGTCATATCTGTCATCGGCTGATAATTTAGGTCGTTGCGTTCTAACATTCTATTGAAGATTATTTTCTCTGTCGCTCAAAAATCATGTTTGATCATAATATATGTTGCTTTTCATTCCCAAATATACATTTACAGGTTTGTCTCAAGGCAAAAAACAAGGATTCGTGCGCGAAAAGTAAAAGTAAATGTTTCAACACCACATGCGTCACGCATTTAAATATCGCAAGAATGTTTACAGATTACTTACCTCGATTCTTCCCTAAGATTTTCCAGTTTTCTATCTAATTCGGATTCCTCACCACTAGAGATACCACCATGCTCACTTTCATCGTCAAAAATCACCTCTAAAGCCTTAGCTACGCTGTATCTCTAGCGTTTCCCATCGGACGCCATTATCGTAGACTGAAATCATACGCAAATAATTTTCGGATCGGGCTCCCGAAGTCACGTTTGATAGTTCGGAGCTAAAACTCGCCATGTAATTGGCTTAGAATGTTTACATGCTACAGCCGAAATTTCAGAGCGATTGGATGTAATCCGAGCATTTCCGAAGAGGTCAAAGTCATCGTGCAATTTTCCACGATCGGCCCAGGGCCTGACCACAAAGTTAATGCAAAGGCGGTTGAACGTCGCTTTCAGTTACAGAACGTTTTCCCATAATTCAGAAAAATGTCAAGTCAAGACATTAGTGAGGCACCAACTTCGAAAAAATACTGTAGAAGATGTAAATGTCATGACATTTATTCTACCTTAAAAGGTCATAAGGCTTTTTGTGAATTTAAAAACTGCGAATGCTCCAAATGTAGCCTTATACCTCGAACGTCGAGGAAAACACAATCCCAAGACGACGAAGTTATCTTCGTCAAAACCGAAGTGCCTAACGATAAATGCAATGAAGGTGAGTACTGGCACTTTCTATAGGAGTAGTACACCGTCTACATAGAAACAAGGACTCTAAATGAAACGCGATATCGAAAGTGCTTTTGTTTGAATCCTCACTCAGATTTTCCCTTCCTACCAAGCTCGTCGGCTTATTTTGAAACCCATCTGCATTCTTTGATTTCTGTTTAGCCATCGATGAGTCTTGTCTCAAATTATTTTTATAATTGGATGCTAATAATTCTTCCTGCAATATTGCCTAAAAAGAATGATACAAAATGGGACTTATATTTCGAATAAGTCCGGCTAAATGAACTGTAAGTTAACTATAGTAATCATTTGCTTAATGGAGGTTAAATAATGTGAAATATTTGGCGTCTTCTTGAGTTCGGCTGAAAAGGCAGGGCAAGAAATAATCGTTTAGCTGTACCATCAACCTTCAAACCGTCAAAAACGTACCCGTAGGCAACCACCAAAAATTAAGAAATCTTAACGGTCATTCATAAATTAAACCGAGTCTGACCAACCTTAGCAAACCAATTCGTCGTTATGCTTCCTGAACTCTTGCATAAAATTTATTCAACGCGATCTTAGACGGTTTGCTTTCTTTAATAGCCTAGATTCCACAGCGTTAAAGTGTGGTTCAGGGATTAGGAAGGTTTAACAGGCAAATGAGCCTATGACCCCTATCATTGGAAAGTTATGGGCCATTTATAAAACGTTTGGGCCATTAGGGTAAATAAATGGGCCAGTAAAAATTTTAACAAAGGTTTATTGCTTGTGTATTACAGTCTATACCTATATCTGTTTCGTCCGTTTCACGGTCGTTTTCGCTCACAGTATCACGATTCTGCTCCGCTGTTGTGTTGAAAAATGTAGACAACGTTCTCTGCGAGCTGTCCAATCTCACGATTTTTTTCGGAGGCATGAGGCTAATCGATGCAAATACATTCAAAGCGACGAAAACGCTCGAACTCTACTCGAAAACGAAAGCACATGGAACTCCGAGCAATAGCCTCGTTTGTATGCAAAGTCCGAGTTCAGAATCTGGGAACAAGAATAAAGCGAGCGTGATCAAACGAGCGAAGGCACCGTAGTTTTTCGCTTGTTTATGTCTCACCAAAGTGAAACTTTTACAAATTACAATCCTTTTCACAAAATAGTTTGTATTTCACTAGCTTTGTGCGGTCAGGGCGTATCACAGGCCCGGTAAGTATTTTTATAATGGGACATTTCGTAGCTTTATGCGCCATACGCGCATGGCGCACGGCCTTCCTAATCCCTGGTGGTTCATGTCGTAGAAATGAAGTCACCTATATAGTCTAGATCTGGAACACGTAGCTCAGACTATTTTCTTACCGGTTAAAGCAACATCTTGATATAGGCTTGATTTATGTAGACATGCAAAACAGTCTAGTACATTCGAAATGATTACATCATATCCTATTGTTAAATCAACATGGGCGATCAGGCGCACAGCGAGGTAGATAACGGAACACTCTGAACTGAACTAAAACATTACTCTAAACATGTGACTGAAGGGGGCGTGCAAACGAACAAATCTCTTGTTCAGGAATCTTTAGAAGAAAGCATTCTAAAAAAGAAGGTTTTCTCATTGTACGTCCTCGATGAAGGTTTTATCTCTAAAACGACAAACTCTCCTTTCTGAAAATTTCGAGCAGGAAATCAACAAGCCGATGAAGTTAACACCAATGAGGTCACAGGCACAGATCAAGGTCAAAATCAGCCAATGGTAAGTAAGAAAGTGACAGTTAGATTGCCGGTTTTCCTCTTTTTTTCAACTGAAACACTTAACTTTCTACTCAGCTAGTCAGATGCAAAACTTATGTTGTCGCAAATTGATCACTCGCATATTCATGCGCTTCAAGCAGACTGTTTGTTTCTATTTTTAGTTCTCTCCAACTCCTCGGAAATTTTCAGCTTGTTCCGCTGAAGTATGATCATTTTGGCTTCACAGCACTAAATTTAAAAGCGTTCAAACCCTACATTACTGATTGTTCTTTACAAATGAGTTATTACGTCGTTACTATGCATTTTCTTTCAATCCTTTGACAATTTCGATTGCCGTTATTCTTCATTTTATAACAAACGGGTTAAGTCTGTTTTTTTTTTTTTTTTTTTTTTTTTTTTTCAGCCAAAAGCAGACCTAGTCACGACAAGTACAGATGTTCCTGAACAAAACTCACCAGCGGTAAGTCAAATTAAAGACAGGCGCGAGTGATAGGTTCCATTGATTACTTGAAGAACGATTCCTTGTAGACAAACAAGTCGAAAGCGTTCCTTACCAAAATATAACTGAAATAAAAACTGAAATTCTTAAAACGAGCCAAGATATCTTTACCTGTAATTTTGGAATTTTTGTAAATGCTACAATTTGAGCCGTGGATTTCCGAGAGGGGCTGGAGAATAGTTGCTCCGGGCTCTTCGCTTAAACGTTTTTCGTTCTCTGTCTATATCAGTCTTCTTCAATCTCTTACCAGTAACTCCATCATGTCTTTGGTATTCGCGTAGTCTCTCGTGATTATCTTTTCTGGTTTTCTCCGCTGACAGTAGTTGGGTGCTTAAAAAATATCTTAGACAAACAGAGATAAATATTTGTTGCACTTAAATGTAATTTTTATTAATTAAGGACCGTTAAAAAAAAAAAAAAAAAATCAGCAACCACCGTTACCTTCGATAATCTCAGCAATATTTACGCGTATTTTCTATTATAGGGAAAGATTTCCTTAAAATGTGAGCATTTCAAATTATAAACAATATAAAAAAGTTTGATAAGATCGAAACTTGGCAAATTATAGGAGGAAATATTCTTTTCTTCTTTAACTTTTGTTCTTTTCTCTCAAATTCGTGTAAATTTAGATTCTTTGGCTTTTTCGGCATAAGGAGCAGTATAAAGAGGTTCTTAATTTTTTGCAGGAATGAATATCGTTTGATATCGATACATTACTGCATGCATCATGCAAATTTTCCAAACATTTCAATATTACATGTTTATCATGCAAATCGCATGTAAGGTTTCTGAATGGATTTAGGAGCTTTGAGTGTGTTGAACAGCTCCAATGACCCCCATAATTTTTCTTCTGTATGTCTGTGGCCTTGTCAACAATGCTATCTTGTTTTTCTGGGTTTATTTTTCGTGGTCGACGCCCCACAGGCTGAACAGAATTCTTTTAGTGCAGTTGTCTCTGAACACGTGGAATATCATGGCACATGCGGCAGTTGAGTTCTCACGGCAACATTTTTGGATTGTTTTAGCGAACAGTTTGTCTTTCTTTTCGAATTACTTACTAGCCACGCTGGTTTTATCGACATCATTGGGAAGAACTATGGAACAACGCCTCAAGTCTAAAACGAACGTTGCAATTTTTGTTTTAGTTTCGTCTATATTGTTGGTGTACTATGGGCGTAAATTTGAACTCTGTCAAACTGGGAACTGTTTTAGTCCACATCTCGCCAAAACAGACGACGAACTGGCTATTTTAAAGAGTGAAATGACAATGTTTTACGCTCCTTCAACTGTTATCTTCTTCGGATCGTGGTATCGTGTTTTCCGTTCTTGTAAAAGAGCAGCAAAGAAGGATGGTGCCAAGAACACCATGAAAGAATATATAAAACGTTACTCTTTCTTACTCTCGGACACTGCTGTCTCGTTATTTTTACTTTATGGTTTAATAGTCATTGATGGAATTTTGTATTTCAACGAGGACAGTGATATCTCTATGACCAATCATTTATGTCGAATGAGCTGTCTACATGCAGAGCTGTTTGTTTTGTTGTCAATGTTTCCAGTTTACATGTATTCTTTTATAAGTCCAAATGATGTTAAACAACCAAGAGAAGAAATTTTTTGACGAAGCAGATAATAAAGCTGAGAATAATATGGCTGAAAATCAAAAGAAAAGCGTTTGAAAGCCGAGATTGGTTTGATTTCACGCTAGACATCATTTTAAAATGACGGCAAAAATTAACACACAGGAAATTCATACAACATCTCGGTAAGTGTTCTTCATTTAGTTATATTAAAACTTTCAAGTAGCCCAGTATTGTGTTTCTGCCAAGAAAATTCTTTGAATTTCAAAAAAAAGCAGAAATGGGTAAATGTACAATATGCATGTTTGCTAGAGGACCGTGGTGATTGGGTTAAAACCCGACAGATTTCTCTATTTTGATGCTTTAACAGTCTGCAATATAGAAACCTACCACAAGTTCATTTAGTCATCTTGTGTGAATACTAAAAGACGATGAAATCATGTTCCTCTATTAACATAAAATAGAGCGCTGTATTTTTATCCATTATTTTCACCAGCTTGCCTTAAAAATCACTCTTCTCGACTAAGGCCCAACTCAAACCAAATCTTAAACATGTTTAAAGGTGCTTTAATATGGCTAAGCTTTGTTTTCTTTATTAAAAAGCTGTTAAAACCGATTTTTTTGACCGCCGCTGAAATTTTTGGACATTGTTTATAACAAGTTAGTGGCCACTTGAAACCGATGAAAAATTAAGTTTTTCATCTCTCTGTTACTGATTTCCATTCAGTTAAATCCGGTTTAGCTTAACATGTTTTTTCTGGTGTGAATAGGGTATCTGGCTTTGAGAATCACAGTGACGTCTGTAACCGAGAACAATAGTACTTCAGACTGTATTTTCTCCATTAAGTGATGAAAAAATACTGACTTGAAATCTTTACAACTACCTATTTTGCTGCTGTACTTTCTTACTTGCTTTTATTTATCTACCTTCCGTTGTTTCTTCAACTTCGGTCTCCATTATCAAGCTGTTCGCCATTAATAACAAGTGTATCAGTTTTGAATGAAATAAAAAATTCAAATAAATTGTGCAATAATAGTAATAATAATTTTGGTGGAACGATAAAAAGCTGATATTACTGCATCACTTGACAGGCTTTGAATGAGGCTGTCATGTGTGTGTTGCGTCACGAAAGTTCAACCTTATGTGACGAGCAGCATGTGACTGCAAGGCTGCCAGCAGTTCGTGATAGGACTTAGATCCTTTTGCTAGGGATCAGTAAGCCTCCCTTACAAACTTTGTAACTTTAGCTGGACGCCCTCTTTGCATGACCACGTTACTCGTAAGCGAGCTGGCTGCCTTAAGAAGGATAGCGGTTAGTGCAAACAAGACTAATATACCCCATCATTCCATGCGTACCCGGACGTCTTGATCTCGGCTTCGGACATGATGGGTACTAGGCTTTTAAGGAAACGGCAAAAAAGTAGATACGTTGAAAAAAAAATTGAAACGATTTAATACAAGTTGCAATAGTGATTTTTATCTTACGATTACATCATCGTACCTAATATCTGTTTCTTGTATTGCAGGCTACACAAGAAGCACGCGCAAAGATTTTGCAACTTGTCAGAGAGTTGCACGATCTTAAGGAATGTGGTGCGTTAAGCAACGAAGAGTTTGAAGAAAAAAAAGGGGTCATTTTGAGGGATTTTTAATGAAACTGCAGTCCGAGAAATTTACGTTACGTTGTGATTTCAGCAACAATTTAACGTTTTCGCTCGACTTCTCTATAATTAGATTTGATTAATAAGTATATTGTATTAATAGAAAAAAAAAAAAACAAACAGTAAACACCGTTTTCCCCTATTTCCGTTCAATTCCTTTGTTTTCACCCCAAATAACTCTAACCTTTTTCAATATCCTTTGAAGATTCGAGTTATGGGGATTCGACTGTAGTCCTATATTGACCTAGCTTCATCGTATACAAGGCTTCAAGTGGGGCAAACTTGAATCATGCAGATATAAAAATAAGATATAAACCCTTTAGGTCATACTAGTGACCAAGACAGAATTTCTCCTTACATTATCAGTAAAATATCAAGCAGACAAGTAACGAGAATAAAGAAAAATATTAATTTGGGGATTATTGGTTGATCCAATTCCAAACTAACATCAAATAAATTGTGAGTTAGGCAGTAAAGAGCTAGAATTACCGACGAAATCTTGGGAGTTTGAGGCTTAACTCTCTCAATAGTTGTTAACACGGTTGTGACGTTTTAGTTTCGCGCACATTTTTTAGAGATAGTTTATCAAAGCCATAAAGAACTTTTACAATGTAAACAAATTTCCGTCTTCTCGGAATCTGAAAATTGTTTCGAACTGCCCCAAACCACTCGTGTTTAGATGAGGCAATCTGAACATCAAAAATTGTTCCCTGTGGCTAAAATTAAACATGCTTTTAAAAATTACATGTGGTCTAAGCTGTAGGTAGTCGTGATTGAATCGCAGCCGATGAACTGTATGACCCACATGATTTGTAATATATGCTCCAGGCCACATGTCTTTTATTTGCAAATTGTAGAAAATGCTTATGAAAAGGTATGGGAAGAGATCATATTTCGTAACAGTTAAAATGACTCACTAATATATCTACTCGGATTGTTGAGTACACTACAAAAAACTCTGTGAATCGCGAGACAAACGTCGCCGATGAATTTTTTCTCACAATTACCCATTCCCTTTTTTCAATGATCTCTCGTGGTTTGTATAAGGGGTCACTGAGTTGGCAGACTAATGAAAAAAGTGCGATTCTTCGTCTAAAACACATTTCTTAAGTGTACTGTTTTCAATTATTATAAACGACACGCTTTTGACCACCAAGGAAAGACAGTAAATATAGGGGAATTTTTCAAGTTTCTTTAACGAAAATGATCTCGTTGAACGGTTAGCTGTGTTATTCAATTTTCATTTGAATTAATAAAGGTTCAAAGTAACTTATTAAAATGGAGTGATAATGCCAAATTCCTTCAATATATTTTCGCCAAAGCAAGGAACAGGATCATTACCTTTTGATTGATGCTCTGTTTCGTGTTATATTTGATTTGACTCTTTAAGCGTTATACACAGAAAGGTTGGATGTAAATATATCATTCACCCTCTTCTCGTTGCAGTTTTTGTTTCCTTTTCAAACAATTATGCAGCACTGAGGTGCGAAGACCTTTGAACAATACAAACTTGCCAGAATGTCACGTAGACAACTCCTCTGGGTATTGGAAAAATTCAGCCCACGTGAGATCATGGATTTTAATGTTAGTTGTCTTAAAACTAGCGCGCTTGTTCGTGCTTGTAGCGTCCTTGGAAGACGACACAGCCTAAAAATGCACCAACACGAGATAAAAGATGAAGGCCAAGACAGCCCTGCAGATTTGAAACTTCAGAACACGTCAAATCGCAATCCTAAATGTACGCGGTGTAGAAATCATGGCATTTTGTCAGATCTTCGCGGACATAAACACCAGTGTCGCTTCAAAGACTGCTCTTGTATGGACTGTCGAACTGTAGCTGAACGGCAGCGTTTAACGGCTGCCAGGATTGCGCTTTTTCGTCAGCAAAAGGGAAACGAAGCAGACATGATCGTTAACTCGCCAGAATTAGAACAAATGGAAGCTGGTTTATTAAATGGATGGATGAACGGAGAACATGAGCATCGAGACGGTAGGTTTTAAGAACTACTACTATACGCTTAACATTCATATTTATAAAGAGTTGGTTTAAATGCAACCTACTCGAAGAGGAATCTTTTATACCTCTTCCATGCTTGTTCCAGAAGCTGTTACGTAGTTCGATAGCATCAACATCAATGATTCTACGATATGTATTTGTTTATGCAACCAACACAATTCTGCGTTCCTTTCGTCTATTCGACAGAGAATGATTCTAACGATGTTTTCCAACCCTGAAAGTATCAATAATAATTTCTTTAGAGCACGTGTTGAAAACAGAAAACATTTGCAGTGCTTCTTGCCGTACGATTTTGTTTGACAAGTCAGGTTCATTTAAAAATGATTATTCTTCGGATTGCAGAATTGTTGCACACTGCCCCTTATCCGACACTTCTGCCTAAAAAAAATAAATTTATACTAAGTGAAATGAGTAAAAAGTTTGTTGTTTTTGAAGGAATCGAATATCATAGCGTTCGAAAAACGTGTGTTTTCTAAAGGAAGTCGCCATTTTGATCGTTTACAAACCGCAAATTTCCGCCATGTGCCCGTCAAAATGACGGGGCTAATGAGATTTATCTTTGAGTACGTTATATATAAAGAGAACTCAAGAATTACTGGCTAAAACTGCCATAAAATTTTTGCCATCGAATGGTTCCTTGATTTCAATCACAAACTAAAGAGGAACATTCCAGCTTTGAATATTCTGCAGATCTTTCTGATCAGAAAGAATTAAAATTCTATTTTCAGGAACAGTCGTTTTATCGTCCAATTTGACTAAGGAAAAACTTTTTTAATCTTGGAATCTGATGTCTGTTATCTATAATAATCGTCCAAATCAGACACCATTTTTAACTCACTATTGACCTTTTGTAGCGTTCGTTGACTGAAAAACGTTCTGGACAGCATACGAAAAATCTCTCGGAAATCGACCCAGGGAAATAAGATTTCGGTTGAACTTCTGATGATTGTACCGACGTACTTGAAGTTAAAAATAATCCATTTTGAAAAAAAGTACTACAGACCCTAACTCGCGTACAGTGCGGAAGATATTCGAAGTCAAGCAGGAAATAACTTTTTGCAATCAACTAAGACCGTGAAACGCGCGAAATCTCATCAAGATGTTAGTTAAGTTTACGATATCGAGGTTTTAAAATTCGACGGATAGATCTCTTTGAGCTTTGATGTCCGCTGAGTAAACTGTTTTACAAATGGCACAATTGCTTCTCTGTTCTTTCAATTCTTACCGCTGTTCGCGCGAAATTCAAAACAATGCACTTTTAATACTTACGTCGGCATTTTTCATTCCCAATCCACTCTTAATTTCTTCCGCTTTCTGCAATGCGGCTTTTAAAAGAAATCATTTCGCTAGGTAAAAAGTTAAATTAATAACGCAGCTTTCAAATTTGGGTACAGTATTTTGCAGAGAAGCTGAACAAGAATGTTATTTTAAATATTGAAAGACAATTGTTTTTCAGTTCATCTACATGGTAGTGTCTTTAAAGAGTGTCTGCAGAGTCCAATTTGTCTTTCAATATACAAGTTGCGTTCTTCTTTTCAAATATAATTATTTCCTTTGCCTTCTTTTAGTGTTCAGTACCGCCCTTAACTTTAATTAGCTATTGAAAGGAACAGTATTCATTTCAAAAAAAGGAGTCTACTGTTCGCAGCTGTAAGCCAGAAACGCTATGAAGGCGAACAAATTTTATAACAATACATGCGACTGGCCACTAATTGAAGGCACGCTTCGTTGCGTTCATATGAATTTTTTAACCGGAAATATGACGATGCTTTTTAACTCAGAGAATGAAAAATGAAAACGTTGATATCGAGGAGGTATACAAGCGAGCGCATGGTCAACAACATATGAAAACGGCTCACCGGAAAGCTTTTTAATCTTTTGATTTTGTTCATCTTTACAATCAGTAGCTATTGTTTCAAAATCCCTTTATCGTGCTGTAGCGTAAATCACAGGTGATAAACAACACCCCCGCATTCCTTAAGTTCCTATAGCAATTAATCGTTATTGAAAGCATTCAAGGTGTTCCGGTTCTCTAGATTAAAATTTTATTAATGAATCTCTGTACTCTTCACTTGCCGAAGCCGTGAGAAACTTTCCACAGGAAAACTTTTGATTAACTTTGAAGCGTCACAAACTTTTTGTGCGCTCGTTTATCTTGAGAATCCATCCCCAACAAACGTTGAAAACCATGTGGTACAGAGTTCATCACAGAAATTCTTTGTCGGGTAAGCTTTTGCACAATTACAATTTGCTTGAGTTGATTATTACTTCTTTAAGTTATTTAACAAGAACTAAAATACATCAAGAAGAAATAAGTTGGCGAGTGAGAATTTACGAACAAAACCTAAGAACAATTTTTTTTTCTACTTGAAGAACAGGACGTGATAAAAACTAGGACTCGTCACCTCTTACAATTAATTTCAAACAGAAAGACAAACAGATAAAACGACGGTCGTTTCAGTGTTGTTTATTTTAGGAAAGTTTTCTCTCGAATGTTTCCAGATATTTTGAAAGATCGAATGGGTTATTGGACTTTTAGTTCTTAAGGCTTTTTTTAGAAATGTAAGTTAAGGTTCTCGATCATACGCTGTTCGCAGTTACTGTATGAGCTAATAAACTACACGAAGAAAGATTTTTCGTGAAAGGAAAAATTGCTGCTTTAAGGCTTACAGAAAACTTGATCAGACAATGGCGGTCTTTTTTTCGTATAGATTGCTGTAAATTAGTCCACAGCAATAGCAAATGCTTCCGAATGAACTTAGAAACAAATTAAAAGAGAGAGCAGAAAAGTCCTTTTATTTTCTGACGATTGGCTAACGCTCGAAACGTCGCCTGTTGAAGCTAAATATGGTGGCAATTTACATAGTC